TTGAAACACAATTTTGCTTTGAATAAATGGCATTTTGAAAAATTATCATCTAATGCAGAAGTCCACAGAAAAATAATTTTCCGTCGCGTCGAGCTATCTTCTCAATCGCCAAATTTCAAATGTGAAGATAGATAGAATGAATACATGTATTCATTGTATCATGGCAGCAAATGGTCATAATTCCACATATGGCAAACATATACTGCTTGACAGCGGCTTAACAAAGCCAACAACAGATTGGCACGGTGCAAGCCGTTTACTTTAAAGCCGAGTTTAATTTTTAAGGTTCGTTTATGTAAGCTTGGCTTTAATATAAAACGGTGCAAACGGCCCTAACTGTTTAGAATCTCGATCGCCAAATCGGGTTTAAGTTTGCAACTTTTCTACCAATTCTCGATGGTTTTTCGGACAATTAAACTTTTTCTTTATCTATAAACAGTATGATATTTCCAAAGCAAAACCTCTATGCTGTCGATGTTTCATGGTTTACTCAATATCGATACTTAACTTCAAATTAAACAAGCGTCCTGTAGAATCTTGGGTGCTGAATCCTTTGAATATAGAACTAACGACTTAGTTTTATATTCAAAGGCTGAATCGAGCTCAAGTTTATGAAATTTTCCTCAAGACCCCCAATGTCTGAAACTTTCAGGTATTATATAAAAAGTACAGTGTTTTCCAAACAAGATACGCCAGTTGTTTGTCTTTCTTCACGCGCTTAATGCGCAACTTCAAGTGAAGCAAGACTAATTCCTTAGAATCTTGATTGAGAAATAGATCAGAAGTTTTTTTCGAAAATAAGCAGAATTTTCAGCGAAATGTCTCATGATGGCCCAAGAATGAAACTTCCAAGTCTCACAGTTGTCTGTGTCTCATGGTTTACTCAACATCGATATTTACCTGCAAGTAAAACAAGCGTCCAGTAGAATTTTGACTGCTCAATCGAGCACAGACTTACATTTTTTTACGCAAATCCTTGATCATGAGCAAAAAATTAAACTTTTCGGTTTTCTAGGAAAAACTGTGCTCTGCTGAAATAAG